AACAAACTCTGTAAGAGGTCAAGCATATCTGGCTTTAGACAATAGTTTTCTGTACATTACACTCAATCCTTTTGCAATATTTACAAAATCTCTTGTTTTGACTCGATTTTTGGATGGAAAGCACCATATCTTTCTCGAAATCGTGAAAAAACTGTCCCTGACAACCCGCTCGACCGCTAAGAAACATAGCAGCTTCACAAGGTCTGTACTTCAAAAAATATACTTTTTTCTGCTTTTTTTTAGGTATTGGAATTCTAAAGTCTATGAAAATAAACTATCATATCGAAAATAGCAACCATCGAGTGGAATTTTACGGCATTTTATGCCCGATTTCTTACGATATTATGAGAGTAACTATGCGTTTGCTGCACAAATGGCATATTGTTATGCTTCCGGTGAAAGAGTTGGTAGACCAGGTTCAAGAAATATGCTTCTTGTAGATGAGTTGTTTATGTTTTGTGTGCAACTCAAGCTTGGTTTATTTGAGCAGGACTTAGCAAATAGGTTTCAGATACACAGATCATCAGTTTGCAGAAAAGTGATCACATAGACTAATTTTTTTCTTGGGAGTCAAGTGATCTGGCCATCAAGGGAAGATGTCAATAGCTATATACCAGAAGGTTTCAAAAGGGTTTATGCAAGCATGTATGTTATATTAGATTGTACTGAGATTTTTGTGCAAACACCTACCTCACTGCTACTTCAGTCACAGCTTTATTCTACTTATAAAAGTAATACTACACTAAAAGGCTTAATAGGTATTACCCCTTATGGAGCTATTAGTTTTGTTTCTAGCCTCTACACTGGAGGAATAAGTGAAAGGGGAATAACAAGGTACAGTGGAATTCTAGATTTGTTAGAGCCTGGGGACTCGGTCATGGCCGACAAAGGGTTTGACATTGAAGATTTGCTGAGGGAGAAGGGAGTGGAGCTAAATATCCCTCTGTTTCTAGAAAGTCTGGAACAAATCTCTACCCAAGATGTTCAGAAAACAAAGACAATAGCAAGTTTGAGAATACATGTTGAAAGAGCAATGAGGAGGGTCAAAGGATACCACTTTTTTGGTTCTGATGTGCCATTGTCTACATTGGGTTCAGTCAATCAGTCATGGACTATAGCCTGCCTTCTTACAAATTTCCATGGCCCACTAATCTTATCTAATAGTAACAATGAGCCATAGTGAAGTTATTGTGTTATTTATAATTTATTGGGAATGTTTATACTTTACCTAAACAAAAAAATAACTGATGGTCATTGAACTGAGTGGAGTGCAACTTGATCTGATATCAAACACAAGTGAACAAAATCACACGATGGCGCAGTAGGAGTGTGATAGGAAATCAAAAGTTTGATATCAGACCGAAATTGTACGACACTGAACATTTTCTGGATTTATGTAAATGAAGCTCCACTTTGTTCACTTTAAAGAGTAGTACCAATGTCAAACAGGAAATAAAATTTGGAAAATATTTCATTTTGTGTGCATTATTTCCTCTAATCTGATTGGCAAACTGTGTAAAATCCTGCAACATGATTGGTCGTCTAAATGTAGTGTGGAATTTTGTTTTGCTAACAAAAAGATGCGATTCAGACTGAAAATAGTGGGATTCGTGCTTGAATCATACAATTTGAACCAATCAAATTACAGGATTTGATGGTGATTTCAAAATGGATATAATAAATTGGAATATCTGAGAAGTATAAAGTACAGAGCAACCTGTGTTTTGTTTGAGAAGTCAATATTCATCATGTATGATGGAAGGGTGCAGTAAAAATCAATGTGATAAAAAATATGTAAAAAAAAATCCATAGGGAAACAGGAACATTTTTATATTAAAATTGGGAGTTGCGAAGTTTTTAGCCTTTCTTGGTGTGGGGGTTTTAATCTTTGAAGATGATAAATGATGATCAGCTAATTTGTTGTCAATTAAAATTTAATCAAGCTGCCCTATTCCCTCTGCCATACATTGTGAACAGTCTTAATGTAAAAAGTAATTGAAGGAAAAACTATCCACTTTGTCCTTTGCTTCCTGGAAGAACACTGGATCAAAATTAATTCTAGAGCAAAAAAACAAATTGTCATCAATGTAACTAAAAAAAATCACAGCGTTCCAATCCTGTGAGTCCAAGCTGGCACTGAATCTGGTAGTAATAAATGTCTGTTGTCTTCAGTTTGTACTGGTTAGTGTTCTGGTCCTTAGTTAGATGTCTGACATTGTCAAATGAAGTTTCACCTTCTTTGACAACTTTTATTTCTAATAAGCCAAATGGATTCTGACCATTATTTACTGCATCAAGATCATAAACTTTTCTGGCTGGACTACAACCTAGCCATGGGCATTTGGTCATCCTTTGCCTGGCCAGGTAAGTGGTGGAACTTTAATTCAGGATGATATCTAGAATCCACGTTACACAAGGGAACACAAAAATGGTATGAAGATTTCTTCTTCGGGTCTGATGGCTGGTCGGTAGTTTAGAAATCTACAGTGAATTTTAGCATGTGTTTAGTCTCAATGTAAGACGCATAATTTACTCTCATAATATCGTAAGAAATTGGGCGTAAAATGCCGTAAAATTCCACTCAGTTGCTATTTTCGATCCAATATTTTATTTTCATAGACTTTAGAAGTCCAATAACTCAAAAAAGCAGAAAAAAGTATATTTTTTGAAGTACATACCTTGCGAAGCTGCCATGTTTCTTAGCCCTCCAGTGGGTTGTTAGTGACAGTTTTTTCACGATTTCGAGAAAAATATCCTGCTTTCCATCCAAAAATCGAGTCCAAATGAGAGATTTAGTAAATATCTTACAGTTTTTGTAGATAATGCAAAAGGATTGAGCGTAATGAACAGAAAACTATTGTCTAAAGCCAGATATGCTTGACCGCTAAAGAGATTTGTTTACTGGAGCGCTTGCTCTCCAGTTTTGTGTTGCTATGCAGTATCCAAGCACGTGACCTCTAGCTGCAAAGGGCCTATTTGTTCCACCAGACGTGGTTTCCTGAATAAAGGTTCCAGTATTTTTAAGATTTTTTCTTGTGTTAATTCTCTTGAATTAAAAAATTATTTATTTCACTCATTGTGAAGACGATAAAACTAGTGGTTATCAACATGGTAAATGTCAACTGTTCCGTGATTTCTTTGTTTGGTATTCTTGACTGACAGCTTTCAAATAATGACACACAGGTAATGAGCAGATCAATTAGTTTATTACTATCACCCTTGAGTCAAAATATAATATATGATATGAATTATTTTATCTTTAAATTTCCAGAATGCCTTACTTTGTAGTAAATCCTGTCAGCTGCAACTACAGTTGCAAAACCCTCTGGTGACTTATATGGCTGCAATCAAAATGACACATAGTTACCTGTGTGACGACGTATAAAATCGGTACCTAACAACATACAATGTACTGCACCTCAAAGTATTATTAACCTCAAAGTATTGATAACTACTAATTAAAGGTAATCTTAAAGGAAGATGTTTAACTCTGATCACTAATTTAATTGAGTGAAACAAACCATACAGAGATACCTTTACATTTTATGTGCATAAAATCTTTTCAACCTAATTACTATGTCCAAAGTAATGAGGAATTTACTGAATTAAGCTTCAAAATGTCCAGTCTGTTGATAAAATGTAAAGTCATGTATGTGTAGCCGTAGACTTAAGTCAGAGACCATAGTACTCTTTTTGTAATCAAATGTTGACTGAGCTTCACTCTTGAAAAAGTTTTTTAGTATGCTGTTTGCATTTTGTGAGCATTTACATCTTACAGTTTCATGTAAATGGCATTACGATGTTGGTTCATGAAACCAGTTCCACTCCTACATGAACAATGTCATATTTTTATCAAATTGAACAACTTCTGAGAGAGATTTGCTACTAAGAAAGACTAAGGGAGTAAATGTACTTTGACCTTTTTTTGTTTCAATATGTGACTTATTTTCTCGGAAACACCCTGTACATATGGATCCAAATGCGGGGAATGATCACATCATACTTCCAGAAGCCTATAAAGACCTCGCACGAGCATCAAATACATAGTTACGCGCGCAAGCTTCGCGTCACGTTTTTAACTTTAAATAGCGTATGATAACGATCTTCGTTTTTCATATCACTGATGAAGGATTAAGCATTAGCCGAAACGTCCATTTCATAAATAACAACAGTCAGAGGCAACCAATGTCTATAAAACAAATGTAGGTATAATTGGGCTTAATCAAAGAATTGTACTAAATATATCAGTCCTCACATGCATACAAGAATGAAAAATGATAATTTTTTGGGTATTGATTTAATTTCCACAAAAGTTATACTCAAGAGGGGAAAAAAGGGAAGGAATATCTCACTCACATACACAATCAGAACACCCCTATGGCGTAGTAAAGGAAAAAAAAAAACAGGTATTGGGCAGTATGTGTGTACAATCTATAATTCCATCTTTTGGGATTTGGGGTGATTTACTGACATTTCCTCTTTTGAGATTTGGTGAGATTTTCCGCCATTCTGTCCTTTAGCATTTGGGTAATATTCTGCCATTTCATCTTCTAGCATTTGGGGTAACTTTGCGCTGTGATTTTACGTCATTCCAGCTTTAAGGGTCGCCCTCGAGACATGCACTTTTCATCGAGTAGTTCAAGTGTGAACAACGCTCTCTTTCAGGAATTTAGTAGAGCAGTAAACAAAAGCTTAAGAAAACAAACTTTGCAGTTTACAATAAAAGAATTGATAGTTCATGTGGGCATGTACGTACTTAAGTAAAATATATTATAGTACGCTATGAGATTCACCTTTCGTTTCATCTTTTGCAGGGAACGACGACCTCTTGATCTCTCACCAGACTTTCCATTCCAACCTTTCCGTGTCCCTGCCTTAATTCTTGCAATAAGCTTTTTGCTTTCCTTAGAGCTTTGCCGCTGAGCCCGAACACTAGAATTAACCCGTTTCAAATGGCAGCTGTTACAAAGGATTTCGCCATTAGACCCTCTCCTCCACATCAAAGAATTCGCTATTTTGCAAGCAGAACATTGGGGATTATGATCAAGTGACATTATGCCAAATACTCGTTTTTGAAAGATATTAAACCGATCAAAGAAAACCTCCTAAATCAACCCAAATTTTTGACACGAATAGCAAAACAATCATCGGCCATTTTGTTTGTACATGCGCTTAGAGTAATACCCACTAGACTTAGTCCCCGCTCGTTGTTGCCTCGGTCTAGAAAGTGATTTCTTTTGGAGGGTAGACGACTTTGGCCGTACGTGAAAACTGAAAGGTACAACAAAGAACACCAAGAGTTCGTAAACGTACCGAAAAATTTCCTTCAATATCGTTACAGTCCATCTCGTAACGAAGGAATAAGACCGAGAACGAGAATTCTGAGAGAGCACCGGGGATCCATAATAAAGAGAGAGTATCTGTTACCTACTACCATGACCAATAAAAAGGATGACCATTTCAAGCCATATATTCTGACAAGATCAAATCCGTGCGATCAAATTCCCGCGCCCGAAAACAACGAAATCTCAACTTGTTCGTCAACAAGTGACATGGCTTATGCGAATCGCATTGATTTATGCCTGCATACATTTTAAACATCTTCCGCTCTCTTTGTTAAAAACAAAACAAACAAAAAAGATGACTTAGCATTTCATCCAGAGACTAATATTTTTTTCATGGCCGAATCACACTGAGTAAGTTTGTGGGAAAGCATCAGTTTCCGGGCTATGATCGTGTACTCGGTGACCCTTTCGTGCAGTTCGCTATGTACATGTTAAGTGCAGAGGAGAAAATGATTAAGGATCTTACACCCTTCATTTATGTGGTGATGTATTGGCTAATAGACAAACTCCTCTGGGGTGCCGTTTGCATCCGGTACACGTGCCATCAGTCATGTTTTGACCCTGAAAACCGCGGGTTTCCTGTTGAACACACTCATCAGATATGTTTGAGACAAAACACTTGTTCCTTTGTTAAATAGTGGTTTATTTTGGTGAGCTTCGTTTACATTCTAAATATAGTTTACTAAATCAAGTATAGCTTCTCAGGATATGTTCCGCACGTACTTGTCGAAAGTCAATAGTTTCTCGTACCTAGAAATTTAAACTTAAATAAATAAAAGGGATGAAAAAAAAGCGAAAAAGAACAACTGAAAGTGTAAGTATAGTTTTCGTGTCTGCTAATTTCTTGGGGAACACTGCTGGCCCGCTAAAAAAAATTACGGAGAAGAGGTAGTTAATAAAGAAAACCCAATTAGATATAGCTTGGTCACAAGATACTTGTTTTTTTTTTTTTTTTTAATTTGTTAATGCAACTTAACATTCATTAGTTAACGGAATTTGGCGGCCTTGACTAACACTTGAAATTATCCTATCGTACTTCCAAAGTTAGTAACTCTTTGTATATTTTGCGAGTTGTTTGAATGCCTATGAAATCCGCCCAGCAATGATCACCGATCAAAATGGTGCGTTAATGGACTTTTCCTCTGTTTTCTGATTAAAAGAACTCGTGTTTGTTATGTATTGCAAATAATCTATCAGTATCTCTTTACCCGAAGTTCGAGCCGCGAAATAATGTTAAAAAAACGCTTACGCGACAAGTGGATGCTGATATAAGTTTTGTGAATGATTCTGAGGACCTGTAACACCATTTGATGGATGTTTTCCTTTATTTTTTTAATTTCAAGTTCTTTTTTACCCATCTCAGTTGAACGCCCTTGATGCCTAATGGCTAACAAAGCCATTGCGTTATGTTTTCAGAACTGCTTCAATGATCCTAAATGGATAAAGAAATATTATACCTTCACCGGATGTGATTTGTTAAAAAAGCA